TTGATTCAAGCTTCAAGCTCTGCATACGAGCTTCAATCAGGAGGGTGTCTTTGTGCTTGTGAAGGAGCGGATAGGATGGGAGTCGGGGTTCTGGAGAGAGCCGCTTTGCATGCCCTGGTGTGTCATGGCGAACAGTATGCAGCTTCGAGATGTCCAGGAGTCCAGCTTCACAGATTGTGTGCCTCCGTGGCCTTTAGTCCTGTTGGCCTCCCTCCCCAACCCCGCGGCCTTGAATCCAACCCCAAATCTAGGCAGGAGTTGTGCAACGGGGCGTAGCTCCTGTTAACCTGATCTCGAATGCCGAGGTGCGATTTCCGGTTGCCAAGGTTTCGCCCCTGGCAGGCACCAAAGATGGACGGGCTACAGTGTGTCTACAGCACACAACATGTTCGGTAGTGGGCTATTTTGTGCCTGGCCTGAGACTGGAGGTATTGTAGGTTCTTGAGTTGTGCTTGTAGTTCAAAGGAGTTTCAACCATCCGCCTTGCCGAGCATGAACACCCCCCCCCCCCCCCCCCGCCCTGTCGGCGAAACCAGAATCGGAAAGATCGCACGGTGGGCCCGGTAGGCAGCTGAAGGCTGAAGCGTGCAATGGTCCACAACTTCAGATCCAACCTTGACACTGTTCGCCCTAAAGCCGACAGAAAAGTTGCGTAGGTCTGGCCTCCTTCGCCGTGCTCCCACGGGCTGGTGCGAGGTGGTCCAAGCAGAGTGGCACCATGTCCTAAGGCTGCTAAGGGTTGAGGGCTGTCAAGGCAAAAGAGGAGGGAGGCCACCTTGGCCTCATGAAGAAAGAGCTCGTGCTGACGTCAAGCCAGTCCTCATGTTTACCGCTGAAGTCCCCACGAAAACTCACCAGTTGGCCTCGCTCGTGCTCTGTGCGGACGCGCAGTTCCCCAAGCGCCGCGGGCATCGGGCCCAGCTGCAGGTTCACGCCGTCGAAAAAGGGCCTTAACTCAATACTTCTCCAAGACTTCTCCACAGGTTAGGGGCAGGTATGGGCAGGTAGGGGCAGCTCTTGCTGCGTATGCAGAAGCAAACCACACAACGAGCATGGACCTAAAGCTCCTTGGCCGGTAGCCTTGGCCCCCAAATGCTGGAGTGTTTGAGGTGCAGGTGTTGCAGCGTTTAGAGAAGTGTCTCCTTGTGTCCCTGCTGTCCGCGGAGCCTCTGCGTGGTTTTGACAGAGGTCATCTCAGCCCGGACTATTTGGCCTATAGCCTTGGGCTGAAACATGAGGCGAGGGCTTTGCGGTACTTTGGGGTCGATTCTCAGGCTCTGCTCCCCAAACCCCAAACTGTCAACAAGGAGCCGTGATGGCGGCTTCGTTGTGCCGGAAAGAAAGCGCCTGCAGGCTCGAAGTGAAAGCAATTGAAAGCATGTTTCTTCTTAGACCTATTTCAGTTTTAGGCTTCGCGTGGCTCGTTGCGTTGCGAGGGCGAGCCTTTCAGGGCTGTTCAAGCCTCAGCACCTTCGCAGACCAAGCTTGAGAATAACGAAAACAGGGGAAGGCTTCAAGCCAATCCAGCCGTATTCCTTCAACCGAGGGAAGAACAAGTGACAAGGGAGGTGGACTCTTCTGCCCCGCTGCAAGAAGCAGGAGATTTGGCTATTTCCAGAACCTCCAAAAGGCCCATTAGGAAAGCCCCAAGATGCCTTGGGAACTTGATAAGAAGCTCCCATGAGATGCAAACAAAAAGGCGGGGGACTGTGCAAACCAAAGCGGATCCGAACGGATGTGCTCAGCACATTGGCTCTCTGGATAACCGAATGCAGCTGATGTGACGGGATGTTGCCGAAGCAGTTGCTTGTCATCAGATTCGGATTGTTGGTGCCCAGCTCCATGCTTCTTGACAAAACACATATCCCACATGTTCTCAGGCTTCCACGCTCTTTGAAGACCGTGTGATCCTTGTGCCAGCTTAGAGCGCCCTAAATGCTGGAGCGCCCCGAGGATCCCTGTCTCCGAAGCCTCGAGCCAGGCCTCGATTGGGCCCCTATGTTCAACTCCTGACGCGGCTGCGTGTCTTGGAGGCCAGGAAGTTCGGAGAAGTTTGGAGGGCTGGGATTCTGGGTTTCGGTCTCAGGTCAGGGTAGGGCCGCCAGGGCCGCTCGGGAATCTGCAGCTTCAACGCCCCAAGCGGCCCAAGCCCTTCTGAATCGGTGATGGAGGTGCCTGTCGCTGTGGCCAGGAGGTCGGGCCGAGGGTCTGCCAAGGCAACACTTCTTCAGTGGATTGGGCTTTCTGACACGAGCGGCTCCCGACAGTACCAGGGACCCAGCTCTTATCAGTAACTCGCCAAGGGCAAGGTCGAGTGACTTGAGTGACTTGAGGTTTTTGCTGTGCAGGTTGGCTCGGGCAGCGGGCGCTGGTGCAGCTCAAAAGTCTTCTGCTCTGGAAGGTCTGGCGGTTCTTAGCCGGTGTGAGCTTGTGCCAAGTTCCGCATGAACTCACCGCTTCAGCTAGACTTCTGTTGCCGAACCCTTCAACAGAGCAAAGACGAGGATTCCTTCAAATTCTCTTGGTGAGCTGGGGCGCAGAGGGCGGCACATGAGCCTATGCGAGCCTACGCGAGCTACGCGAGACTTTACGCAGCCAGCTTGCAAGTCTTTGGGGTTTTGGCGAGGTTGTGCTGCCTCAGGAGCGGCAAGAGCGGCTCGCGGCGTGCTGATTTTCACAGAATGCACCTGGGTGCTGAGAGCTACCTTTCAGGCACAGGATCTGGGTACAGTGATTTGAGTGTGGACTGGTGAATGGATCATGAAAAGCTAAAGCCACAGGGTTTCGCAAAGCTTGGTGCCCGAGCCTCTGACCCCAATGATTGCCCTGATTTTCGCAGACCTCACGCAATCTGTGGTCAGGGGTTTTGCCAGCATCCAGCGGCGCCGTTTCTTCAAAAGGCCCGGACCGTGAGCTGGTATGTCTCGGCTGTGCGGGGTTGAGAGATAAGGGCTGAGAAGGAAGGTGTTGATCTTCAGGCAATTCCAACTTCGCAGGCTCGAGATTGGGGCTTGGAGCCAAGTTTTCTCGGCCTTGGGGGCCATAGCTTGCAATTTCCCGAATATGTAAGCAAGCTGCCGCGAGCTTGCGTCCACGGGTTGGGACTTGGGTTGAAAATGGTTTTAGCTAGTCTAAGGATGTTTAAGAAACAGCTTGTTCCAGTGTAACGGTGCGTGCTCTCTTCAGCTGGAGATGCCCTGAGGCACGTGCCTCCCCATGTCCTTGATCACATTCGCACAGCTCCAGTGATGGGCTGGCCAGGAGGACAGTTCAGGGAAGACCCTACAGGGTTGAGGCTTTCGCTCGTTTGTGCAGCATTAAGATGGGTCTCGTCGAAAATGGCAGCAAGTCTGCCTTTCTGGCATGCATCGCATGAATGTCCTCATGCATCTGATTGGTTGTAAGCCCAAGGACTGTTGCGAGCGCGGCGGGCTTCCGGCACGCTGCGGCCAACTGCCTGTGTGGCAAAGAGTGTGTCATGGAGACTTGGTTCAGGCTTAGACCCACGGACAGTTGAATGCCATGGCGCAAAGCAAAGCCGATCGTGATTTTCAAACACTTGGTGATGGATGTGGCAGGCTTCGGAAGTAGGGTCCTGCTGCAGCTGTCAAGAGCACCTCCAGAAAGTAACAGTAAGCAACAGTAAGCATAGTAAGCCCAACCCTCAGTTCCCCATCCCCCACTGCCACTCGAGGCCTCCCACGGCCCATGGTACCGTTTCTCCAGCTGCATGGGAAGAACCTTGGCGCCTATAGCCTACAAAGCATGCAAGCACTGTGATCCCCAAAGCCCCAGAACCCCAAAGAGCCCTGAAGAAGCATTCCGTTTGCTATTCATGCAAAATGGCTTCTGTTATTTGAGGTCGTGACAAGAGGTCGTGAGGTGAGCAAGCACCCTCCTTCCGAACATTTCCTCAACACTTTGGACTGTGCCGTTCGCAGCGTCATTGCAGACAGGGAAATGTGTAGGCATGGTGTCTCTTTACGGTACCGTGCCCTTGCTGAAGACCATTGTTCATGGAATGGAGGTCCAAGGCACAACCCGAATAGGGAAGTTTCCAAGCATTGGGAGAAGTGCACCCCCCTTTCGACACATGGACCCACTGCAGCCTTCAAGGCAGATTCCGGGATTTGACAGCCGCGGCCTGGAGGCAAACAAGAGGCTGAATCGGGGGCTTGCAAGCTGTCAAGGCATGTCAAGGGACATGCTTCACGGTTGAACGTGTGCATTTGGTCTTGTCCTCGTGGACTTTCGGGGCCTTGGGTGTTTTCGGCGGTTGGCAAGATAAGCCCCACCCGATCCCACACGGTGACTAAAGATGGCTTATCAAGGTCCATGTCAGCCCTCGGTTCGATTGCCCCTGCAATCCCGAACCTCCATGATTCCAACTATTCCAACCTCCGAAAAACTCAACCGAAGCCCCAGTCTTCAAACAAAAAATTCGCGAAGCTCCTCGAAGCTCTATCTGACTCTATCTCCCTCTTGGAAGCCGAGGCATGGCCTCACCTTGGTTTTTGTCTAACTCCGCTGCTCCAAATGGCCGGCCTCGTGCCTTTCTCTCGTTAAGTCTTGCGATTCAGGGGACTTTCAGGAGGGGGTGTATGAAATCAAATGGCCCCAAGTAGAGGCTCATACGTGATCATCCCCCCCCCCCGCCCACATTGGTTTCAAGTGCACGTGTACGGTCCAAGGGCCACCTTCGGTGATGGTGCAGTCCATCCAGGTGCCTGGCGGGAGCATGAGAACTGGCGGGAGCACTGGATTTCGCGAAGTTTGGGTCTCCATGGCTTCAACTTCACGGGATCGGAAAAGGCACGCATGCCCCGCAGTGGGCACGACGCAGTAGATGCGCTAAACATACAGGTAGCAAGGTGTGAGTGCCTCAACAGCTTTGCATACTCAAATATGTACCGTCGCTGATGCCGAAGCCGTTTCCTCCCAGGCTTAGGAAGTGCCGCCGCCTCTTTTCGCTATTCTCCGTGTATCTGCGTGTCCTCGCAATGACAAGCACGGACTTCGAAGTGATGACGAATGATGCAGGTTCAACACTTGATGGCTGGAACGTGGTGGACGAGACTGCCGCTCAATCGCAGAGCCTCAGTGCAGAAGTGGCTCTGGAGCGTGATGCCACGGTCTTAGCAGCAGGTGAAATGAAGGCCGTACTGTCTGTTGTGGCACCCCCCGCTGACGGATCACGTGCCCCGCTGCATCTTGTGGCCGTGCTCGACCGCTCGGGCTCCATGAGTGGAGAGAAGATACGCTTGGTGAAACAGACGATGACCTTCATGCTGCGCTATCTCTCTGAGCGTGACTCCCTTGGAATCGTCGAGTACGGCTCGGATGTGAAAGTTGCGGCGCCGCTGACGCGCTGTGACCAGGACGGCCGGGCGCGGCTTGCACATGCACTTCAGAAAATCCAGGTGACTGGACAGACAAATTTGTCGGGAGGCTTGCTCAAAGGATTGGAGCTTCACAGGGACGGGCCGCGTTCTGCTGCACCCGAAGGCCAAGCAGTTCAGGCGGGGTGTTCGAAAGAAATCACAGCGTCTGAAGTTCAGAGGCTTCTTCCAAGAGCAGATGCGCCCCCTGTATATTGCCCCGTACATCCCGGTACTTCTCAGGTGGGCAACAGCTACAGGCGCATGTCTCCCAGTGAGGCACCGGCCCGCACCGAAAGTGGGCCTTACGGCACCCAAGCGCCGTGACCCGGCCTTGAACGAGGCAACCCGAAACTGAAGTAGTGGAGCAGGTCGTTGTGTCATATGTTGCGTATTGTTGCGTGTCCATGACGTCCTGAAGCCAAGCTGCAGGATCTGGGATACGCTTGGGGGTTTTAGTGGGCTTGGGGTGATGGAGCTCTGCTCCTCACACCCTCAACGACCTCCTCTTAAGCCAACAAAGGCCTGAGGGCGCGGAGCGCGTGCACGAGTGGACCATGGCGCTGCGCCTGCCGGAGGGCACCGAAGGTCTTGTGAAGAAAGTGGTTTTCGAGCTCCACGAGACCTTTCGGCAACCTGTGGTGGAGGTGAGGGGGGGCTCAAATGAGTCAAATGTGTTCAACCTATATTTCCCACCTCCTGGAATCCATGGAGGTGGCCGCGCCACCTTTCCAGCTCACCCGCTTCGGCTGGGGCACCTTCGAGGTAGGCATCACAATCCATCTTCAGGACGCCAGCATGCAAAGCCCAGATCTGCCACACACTGGGAGAATCGAGTTCATATAGAAGTTTGGGACTTCTTTTGTTTGGGGTTTAAGGCGTGGGGAGACTTCTAGCTTTGGTTGCCTCTTGAGACTGCCTTTGCGCGGAGTGCTCGCGAAGACCCGAAGTTGAGCCCCCGTGTCAACCCGTTCTTGTGCCCCGTGGCGGCCTCGGAGCTTTTTTGTTGGCACTGCAGAATGCCTCGCACCAACTGACTTCGCAACGGGGGGTGGCCGTTTCGTCAGTCTAGTTGGCGCGTTCGTGGCACGCGCAGGGTTTGCAACAAAGCCACCAGCTCTCACACCGGCATCGACCCCACATCATGAAAGCGAGAACCAAGCTAAGGCTATAAGACCTTTCGACGCAGCAACCGTGCGAAGCCGACCATGAGCTGCATGCGAGAATCTAGTGGGTGGTGTAGAGCTGCTCGCAGGACGGCCGTGAGCTGAAGCTGTCACACATGCTCTGCTTCGACAGGCTGGAGACCCAGCTTTCTGCCAAGCTAGGAGGCCAAGGTTATTTAAAGAAGCTGCTGAACGATGATTAGACGCTCTGTGCAAGTTTTGACGATGAGGCCAGAGAGCTTCCGCACCGTTCTGCTACCATTGAAGCAGGAGCCGCGCTCCAGCGCTAGCCTCTGGGACCTGGTTTTTTGATGCTGCTTCGTACTGCTCACGCGGCACGAGAAGAAGCACGCCCAAAGCAGGAGCTGTCATAGGGCCCGGGCTCACAGTGCATCGAAGCAGCGCAACCACATAGAAGCGCGATACACTGCTGAATTATGGCACAAGTATTGCTGAACATGTTCAACACAATCCCAAAGCCCAGGCTTCTGGGGCTTTGGCCTCTGTGGAGCAGGCGTACCTGACGCAGAGTCCGTGGATGAGGACCACCAGGCTGTGGTGCGCTCCACCTTCCTGTTCACGGACCGAACTTTTTGCGGTGAGTTCCCGTCTCCAGGTTTTCTGGGTCTTAGGTCTCAGTGGGTTGGTCGTGGGGCTGTTGTTGGATCAGAGGCTGGAGTTCAAGAGGTGAAGAGTAGGATTGGTGTCACAGTGTTGGTTGCTCGGATTGACGTTCGGTGTTAGGACCTGGGTTGTAAGTTCAAAGCCGGATCTTGGCGTTGAATTGAATGGCTGCGACTGGCCTGCAGGACGGTCTGGCGAATGAGGGCATCCGAGACACAGCCGGTATTTGCTCAGCGGCCACCAACATGCTCACAGAACTGAGAAACTGCAGGAGCACGATCTCCACGTTTGGTTTTGGAGCAAACCACAATGCAGAGATGCTGCGCCAACTGGCAGATACCGCCGAGGGCACCTACAGCCACGTTGAGTCGGAGGATCAGATCGCTGAGGCCTTTGGGGAGGCCCTGGGAGGTCTGCTGTCCACCACGCACCAGCACTCTGGCTTTCAAGGTCCCAGTTAAGGTGGCCCTACGCAAAAGCCTAGCCCAATAGTTCAGCCCAGTAGGCCATAAACAAGAGCTGAGGAACGTTTCGATCAACCTGGAGCTCGCCCCGGGCGTGGACTTCCTGCGTGCCTTCACTTCCTTCCCGGCCAACACAAATGGCAGCCGTCTCACTGTGGCGTGGCTGAAGGTTTCCAAGCCAACAAGGGCGGGGCAGTGGAATATAGGAACCAAGCTGGCGTAGCAAAGCTTTCACTTCCATGCCGCAGCCTCCCCTGTCCTCCCACTTGATGGTCCTTGGTTGTATGATGTCGCATGTTGTGCCACCAACCGGTTGCCTGTGGCTTGCCCGTAGCTGGTGTTTGGAAAGCCCAGAAGGCGAACCTAATCCTTGACCTACCCCGCACGAGGGCACGCCCTGAACTCAATGGTTCCGTAATGGCTCCAAGAACAGCAACAAACTGCTCAGGTAGAGCTTGGCGATCTCTACGCAGAGGAACGTCGCGACATTTTGGTGTCGCTAGGCCCGCCCTGAAGCCCTGGCCCCTCCACTTGTTACAGCCTTTATTCCTTGCTTGAGGCTTACCTCTGAGAATGACATTCGATGCTTGCTTTGCCATCTGCTAGGCCTGCCTGCGGTGCAGGGCGGCGATGCTGGCGATGGCGGCGCGGCACAGCTCCAGGGCATCGGACGCATGGAGGTTCAGATGCACCTCATGTTGTTCATCAGCTATTTCAGCTACCTCGAACTTGCCAGCATGGAGTTCACAGTTCACAGCATGTGGTTTTGGAGGTTCGTGGGTTCTCCATTGCGGCAAAGCGCAGCGAACGAGATGCGAAGGCCTGGATGCTGTTTGGCTCTGCGCCATGAAGGGACATTACTTCAAGACTCAAGGTTCTACAGGGCCGTGTGGGGTATGGCAGTGGGGATCTAAGGGCATCTAACCCGTGCTGTTATACAAAGTATCAGGAGCTGATTGCAAATCTCAGCCCATGTCTCCGGCCTAGTTCTACCTACACCTAAACCCAGTGCATTTTCTCTGGCTTAAGAGGCCCTCGTGGTGGAGCGCCGCTCCGACGCCAACTCCGACGGCCCGCGCCATGCCCAGGCGGGGAGAGTTCGCGCAGAGCTGCTGCGCTGTGCGCAAGGACGCCTTTGAACGGTCAGCAGCTGAAAAAGGCTGAGCCGAACCAGCCGAAGGAAAGGAAAGCCAAAAGCAAACCCCCAATCCTGAAGGCCAAAACTCAAGCAGGAATCCGACAAAAGAAGCTTCTACCATGCCCGCACACTTTCGAATGCCATGTTTTTCATAGCCTAGTGCTTATCCTTCTACGTATCAGCGCCCCTGATGTCGCATCTCTTTAAGTCCAAAGCTGCAGAGTGCGAGTGGAAAAGCAACGTCGTAGTCGCATCGCAGGTGGAACGCCACTGGATCCGCCACTTGACCAACGAGGTCGGAAGCCAAACCCAAGCCGAATCACTTCGGCGTAAGCTCGGTTCAAGTGTAGAGAGTTCTGGAGTGCTTCTCCAGTTGAGAGCTCATGAGACCCTGCAACCCCAAGTTAGGCTTACAGCTGTAAAGATCTGCAAAGCCATGAATTCCTGAGACCGTCACACGAAGAACCCTCGGAGTCAGATTCCAAAGCCCACAGACGCCGGGACAGGCACTGGAAGCGGCAAGGCGTGCGGCCGACCGGGGTGCCCTGCAGCAGGCACGGCAGCTGCTGGAGGAGACAGAGTTTTGAGGTTTGAGTTTTTCTTTCTTAAATGAATCTATTTGTGTTTTGTTTCTTGGTCTTGTTTTGGGAGGGGAATTAAGTTGGTTCTGTCAGCCTAATGTTAGGTCAATCTTTACGGCTTGGGTGGACAGGATGCCTCAACAAGCATTGGTGCCTCGCCACTCGTGGCCGACGGCGATGCGGTCTCGCTTGGCCTCCTCACCGACCTCCGCGACTGCATGGATGATCTCCGCCATCGGGAAGCCTACGTGTAGCTGGGCTTATTTTTTTGCCGCATTTTTGCCAGAGAAAAGCCAGCGCCCCCCCCCCCATGTACATGCTTTAGCCCCCGCTGTTGGCCGCCGCTTAGCGCGCCGTTGCTAGCCAGGCAGTCAGGCTCCAAGAAGATGGCCATGATCAACCAGAAGCATTCCAGGCAGCGGGCGGCCAATGGAGTGGACACTGCTGTGCCTCGAACACACACATAGCAGTACCCACTTCCCCCAGCTCCTGATAACTGTTGAGTGCGGGATACAAGGCCTTTAGGGACCTTCAGGGGCCTTCAGGGGCCTTTGGTATAGGGGGTTCACGCAGGGCTGGGTGTACAGTGCCTTGGCCACAGGCGTATGGGCATTGGGTTGACGTTCCGAGAGTGTAGATTTGCAATCAGGTCTGCTACAGCAACGCTGTTCAGAAGGAAGTTCGCGCTGCCTTCAAGATGAGTATTGCCTGAGAGTTCCGGCACAATTCGAGCAGCAGAATGGCTGCAACGTTTTCCACAGGGGCATATCTCTGCCTTGGGGGTCGATTTCGAATCCTAGTTCGCGGAAGGGCATCTAATGAGACTGCTGCCAGGCGACCCGTTGAGATATGCCCACGGTGGTAGTTTATTTAGTGAGTTCATCATGTGAGTTCCCAGACGTTGCGAGCTGCCATGTGCAGCGGCTACGCTTGCAACGCACGAGGTGCCTGTCGGATGCTGCCATGTTGCAGGGGTGTATTCTGCCTGCACGAGCACATGACAAATCAGCTACAGGGTGTGAACATTGCAGCGATGTTGACATGCAGACCACGGCAAGACATGGCAAGACTTGTGAGTCTATGGTCCTGACTGCCAGGAGGATAGTCAGCTAAGGTGTTGCGGGGCTAGAGGCAAACGGGGGTAGGCTGTAGGCGGGAGTATGCTTGAAAAGACAGGACAACGCAGAATAAACGGGTGGTTGTTGAGGGGCATGAGGGTCGATTTCGGGTCTAGCGTTGAACCAAGACAAGCAGGACAAGCAGGACAAACAACCAGGACAAGCAAGAACAACAAGCAGGACAAGCGAAAAACAACAAGCAGGACATTCAGCACAAAGAAGCAGGACAGGCAGGAACAACTGGCAGGACGAACGAGGACAAGCAGGACAAGCCAGTAGGACAAGCAAGCAGGACAAGCGAGCATGACAGGACAAGCAGGACAATCGAGCAGGACAACCAGGACAAACAAGCAGGACAAGGAGGAGATGCGAGCACAAGCAGGAAGGACAAGCAGGACAAGCAGGAGGCAGCAATTGGCACCAGCAGGACAGGACAACCATCTCAAATACATGTGGCATGCCATAGCGGCACTGTCAGTCTAGGACACGTGTGTTAATGGGGCATGACAAGCCAACAGGACAAACAAGCAGGACAAGCAGGGCAAGCAGGACAGGCAGGACAGGCAGGACAGGCAGGACAGGTAGGACAGGCAGGACAGGCAGGACAGGCAGGAAATGACAAGAAGGACAAGCAGGACAAGCAGGACAAACCAAGACAAGCAACCCGGGTCTTCTGTTTTCCCCCCGCGCCCCTGCGCCAAAAACACCCGGTTAGCAAAACACCCAAATCCACAGCTTCTGGGAGGCCATGCGTACTAGACCTAAGCCCCTAAGCCATAGACCTTCTTTCGGCCTGATATTTCCGTGGGCGTGGCTGCAGGTACAACTCTAGTTACAGAGCGCCTTTTGTCCCGAGGCCTCCTGCGTTTTCATCCGGTTTCCAAGATAGAGCCCCCCCCTCTAACCGTCCCCACCAAAAGTTATCACCTGGGATAAGCCGGGTTGTCCCAAACAGACCAAGAGCTTTTGAAAGACACAGGCTCTACGGCGCCCATGCCGACGTCTCTGAAAGCCTTCAGGTCCGGAGCCCATATGTGAGTCATTGAAATGCAACTCGATAACTCACAATTCAGCCTTCAGCCCCTCAGAAGTACCCGTGCGGCAAGAATCGGAGCGACGGCACAGTGGACGCATCTCAACAACAGAACAAAGGCAGAACCTGAATGAACGAGCGGCCTGTAGTCCAGTCCTTCAAGCCCGTAAACATTGTAGCTAAGCTTCAGGATGGCTGCGCTGTTACACAGTACTCGTAAGAAGAACATGACAGATGATGCAGACTGCCTTCCTGCTTGCGCGGGTAGCGCACGCAGGCTTAACTGCAAGCAGGTGGGGCAGGGGGTCCTGCTCGGCCCAAGTGCTTCTCTTGAAAGCACGATCCCGCCTCGGCGGGGCTGTGCCCTCGAACCTGTCGTTGGGCAGGGCTGTCCTGAACACTGTTAGGGGTGGATGTGCCGGGCGCGCATAGCGGGAGCCGATCCTGTGGGAGGGGTCGATCATGGCAGGAGCGCCTTTCGACCTAGCCTGGAGTTTGACTTAATGGCTTGTGGTACGATCTCCAACTACACTGAAGGCTGTTCGGGATGCGGCGGTTCACTGAAACCGTGTATTCCAGCCAGCGTTGTATGTTTGCAGCATTTCTCCCAGCAGCGCGGTAACGCGTATGTGGGGGTGTGGGTGTGGGTGTGGGTGTGCGTGTGGGTGCGCGTGTGCGTGTACGGGTGGGGGTGGGGGTGGGTGCGGGTGCAGGTGCGGGTGTGGGTGTGGTTGTGCGTGTGTGCGTGTGTGCGTGTGTGCGTGTGTGCGTGTGTGCGTGTGTGCGTGTGTGCGTGTGTGCGTGTGTGCGTGTGTGCGTGTGTGCGTGTGTGCGTGTGCGCGTGTGTGCGTGTGTGCGTGTGTGCGTGTGTGCACGTGTGCACGTGTGCACGTGTGCTCGTGTGCATGTGTGTGTGTGTGTGTGTGTGTGTGTGTGTGTGTGTGTGTGTGTGTGTGTGTGTGTGTGTGTGTGTGTGTGTTGGCATGCACATTTCCACCCCGTATCCCTTTTGTGTTGTGATGAATAGTATGCGAATTCGCTCGACTGGGTCATTTTCACGACGCGAGCGACAACATGATTACGGGGAACCGTTCCTAGTACTGAGATGTATTCAGTATTCTGATTCTTGCTTTTATGGTTGTGGTCTCAAGCCTCCAGCATGTGTCTCATTCAGGCGGACCTTCTGATGCTTTCCGGGCAGTTGTCTGGCCATCCCGTGGGGCCTTGACCGGTGCACCTCGTCCTTGAAATTTGGAAGATGTTCAAGGTATAGGCTTCACGCTTATTTAGTGAAAGCAGCGCGACCCTCTTGTGCGCAAGATGCCGCTCGAAAGCCCCTATTTGCCGATATGCCAACAAACCAAGGCCGTTGTGTAATTTGCCGCAGCCAGAAGGCACGGGCTTCGGGGCGTATGGGGCTTTTGGGGAATTGGCTTCTTATTGTTATTGCTATTGGTTGTGCTGAGTCTGAAGAAGGGGAACTGGCGTGGGATTCAATCCTAAAGTCCAAATCCCAAGACATCCCCAAATTCGGTGGCAACATGCTCCCTCAGATCAAAACAACAGCAGGCAATCCATACGTGCAGACTCACTCATGGCTTCAGATCTCTGCTGTCACAGCCTCACAAGATTTTCCACAAACACCGCTTCTCTCTTCGCCTGGCGTGGCCCATACATCGCCCGCTGAATCCATGGATGCCTGCACAGTACGCTGGAACGTCAGCTTCAGTACTAGAAAGGAGTGATAAGTTACAAGTCTCTGCACTTAAAGGAAAAACGGGGCAATTTCGAGCCCCGCTTTGAGGCTTTTGACTTCCATACTCAGCCTCCGCCGCTCAACCGCTTAGCCGCTAGGCGAAGTCCGTTGGACCAGACTTTGGGTTGACACGTGCCTTGGCTGGGCTTGGCTGTGCTTGGCTGGGCTTGGCTGTGCTTCTTTGGGCCGTTTTGCGCGGTTTTGCAAGTGCGATGTCGTGGAAATTTCTGGCCGCGAACTCCCCAGAATGTTCTTGGCCGTTGTGTCTCAGATTCCGGATCCAGCTTCCACCTACAGATTCTTCAGTCCTGTCTAGGCCTGCTGCCGCTGATTCTCACAATCCAAGAAGCCAGCGCCAGCAACCTGGCTGAATAGTCCTGTTCACTTACTGGGGGCAGTTTCAGCGGATTGTTTTTGCGCTTCAGGTTCGGTATGCAGCGCAGGTTTTTTGAGTGTTGTGCAGGGTTTGATTGTGCTTCGGGGTAAGTGCCATGCTGCTGCTTGCCTAGCCGCTTTTCCGTCTCACGGCCATGACCCCAAATTTGTCTTGACAGGTTAATTTAGCCTGAATTTTTCGAGGCAGCTTGAGAGGAGGTGTAGCTCACCAAGACATCTTTTGTAGATATTCACGGTGTGGGGAAGGTTGTTCCGATTGTTGCCCAGCCCGCAGTTGAAGAGCTAAACCAGCCGACATAAATAGCTGCTGTAGGATCGTTGTTGAAAGTTGAAAGGTCTCCTGGACAGCTCGGTGCAGTTGCAGCGGGCTACATGCGGCCCAAATGCAGGCCGGACACACGCACGCACGCACGCACGCACGCACGCACGCGCGCACTCACCCACCCACACGCACACGCGCACGCACGCACGCACGCACTCACCCACGCACACGCACACGCACACGCACACGCGCACGCGCACGCGCACGCGCACGCGCACGCACACGCACACGCACACGCACACGCACACGCACACGCACACGCACACGCACACGCACACGCACACGCACACGCACACGCACACGCACACGCACACGCACACGCACACACGCACACGCACACGCACACGCACACGCACACGCACACGCACACGCACACGCACACGCACACGCACACGCACACGCACACGCACACGCACACGCACACGCACACGCACACGCACACGCACACGCACACGCACACGCACAACGCAAAAGCAAAAGCACACGCAAACGCACACGCACACACGCGCGCACACGCGCACACACACGCACACACGCACACAGACACACAGACACACAGACACACAGACACAGACACACACACACACACACACACACACACACTTGTGCAATCTCCACACCAAGTCTTGGGGTCCTGTTTACCTGGTCTACACCTCACAATCCTGAAGTTCCCAACTTGCTAAACTGATTCGTGAGACTGAAGAAATCGCAGGTACACAGAACTGGCCAAGTTCTGCATCCCATGAGATCAGGTAGCTTCATTGGATGTGGTCCCTGATCTCACGCCACATCCCCCTGCATGCTCTAACGGTAACAGCTCTTCACACTTGCTCCCTTGGCAACAGGGTTGGCACACACACACACCCTTCAATCAGAAGAGTGGAGCTCTTGCAGCCATTGAGCACAAGCATAAAGTCAAGTTCAAGATCAAGAACATGTGCAGCTGCCACAATCTCTGCTGGTCAGAATTGCGAAAAGCTGCTGGCAACAGACTGAGCATGCACTGCACGCAACGCTGCAAGTTAGTGAGAATCACTCGCTGCCACGAAGAAACTTGCACTTGCAACCATCTGGCTCTACCCGCAGGATTCTGCATTCCACATCTCTGCGCTGCTAACACGGAAGACTACAGCACTACAGGAACTTGATCACTCTCAACACGCTGCGTAAACAATGGTACACCGATCAACACTCACGCATCACTTGGGTGGAGATAACCCTGGCTGAAGTCTCTAACAGGATGGATCGACAACTGGCGTAGGACCTGTTCGGTATCTGGTTTGAACATCAGCAGACTGTGGACACAGTCAATTTCACTCGCTCAAAGGTGCAGCAGTTGAGGGGGGGAAATGCTGACAGGCTGTTGCTCCGATCAGGGAGCTCAGGATGGTCAATCAAGACCATAGTATCAGGCAGGCAACCCTGCTGCAGACAGTGCGATAGACGAATACTGCCTGGAGCACACTTGTGCAATCTCCACACCAAGTCTTGGGGTCCTGTTTACCTGGTCTACACCTCACAATCCTGAAGTTCCCAACTTGCTAAAATGATTCGTGAGACTGAAGAAATCGCAGGTACACAGAACTGGCCAAGTTCTGCATCCCATGAGATCAGGTAGCTTCATTGGATGTGGTCCCTGATCTCACGCCACATCCCCCTGCATGCTCTAACGGTAACAGCTCTTCACACTTGCTCCCTTGGCAACAGGGTTGGCACACACACACACACACACACACACACGCACACACACACACACACACAGACACACACACACACACACAACCACACACACACACACAACCACACAACCACACACACACACAACCACACACACACACAACCACACACACACACACAACCACACACACACACAACCACACACACAACCACACACACACACAGACACACACAACCACACACACACACAACCACACACACAACCACACACACACAACCACACACACTGATGGATAAGACTTCTGCAGAGATCGCCAGGGGGGTGGGGTTTGGGTTTGTTGACTCAAAAGTACAAGTATGTTGCATCCATGTGCCAACTGCTCAATGTTGTCATCATGTAGACTGCATTGTACAAATCACCAAAGCTGAATGCTCACACTACTCATGTTGCTTCACTCATGCTGTGTCCAGTGCCACAGGGGCCCCACTGGCTAATCCGATTGCAGGTACAGATGAGTGATCAGCTCATCCTTCCCACTCTATGGCATAGCTTCGTTGCATGGAGTAGCCATAGAGTGCTCCATGAACCATAAACGGTTCCCCTGCTGCAATGTGAAAGTGGAGGCAAAATTCGACAAGCCGGGAGTGACCCCATTCACCTATGAACTAAGGTGTTTCACACACACAGAGCCCCATAAGGGGCGACTGATGCCTGGCATGTGGCCAGTCATTGCTGACGAAAGTGTGTTCATCAACTTGAGCATAAGAACATGGCAGCACGGCCCCCGGCTGCATCGCAGAGCAAATAAACATGCAGGTGCTGACCCCAGTCTCAAAATCGCTAAGGTGTCTGATTCGCACATACACCGGTATGAGTGTTGGTTGGGGCCAGGCATGTGACCATTGTTGAGACAAACTCGGCTGAGGCAAATGCGTCTAGCGATCAATGCACAATCACATGGCAGCTCGGCAGAGCTGAGCAAAACACAGTGCAAACAAGGCTGTGCTGCATTTTCAGTGGATCGACTGAAGCCTGTTCCGGCGGCTTGGTATCTGTGTTGTATGGCAGCCACGGCGGCATCGGCCATCGTGGAAGGTACACAAACCCGTCTTGCTCGCAGGATGCGTGCTTGTATGCTGCTCCGAAGCACGGAGCTCGTTGTTGCAGACTGCGGATGCATGATGTCTGCCTTCTGCAGCTTGTCGTCGTACGACAAGGTGGCTGTGCTGGTGTGTATGGCAAAACCTAAAAAGATGTTGGCTGGCTCCGTGTCAAGTTTGACAGGGGGCTGGTAGAAATCTGGGTCAACCAACTCCCTGAATGGTGGGAGCGAAATGTACTGCTGTGGAATGAGCAGCACCCTGTTGTCTACATATCTGGTGGCAAAAAAGATTGCCTGCTGCTCGCTTGTTGGCTGATGAAGATGTTTGTGGTTCACAAACATACTGCGGAGCGACTTGACCCAGCATTGCTCCACAACTGCCACAACCATGTTGCAAAGTGCAGGGCTGCAAGGTGAGCCCATGGGGGCACCTCTACACTGAAAAAACAGCGTGTGACCTACTGTAAAGTAGTTCAATTGCAGCACTACCTCGATGAGTCGAGGAATGTCGCTGAATCGCAATGTGTTGCGTTTGCTGTGCTGGCTCTGGTTGCGTCTGCTTTCGCGAAGCAAAAGGCCTCGCTGCACGCGCTGACTGGGCTCGGATTGTGTATGATCAACCTGGAAAACATCTGCGTGAGTGGGATTGGCGTGGCAGTACCATTCGCACATGAGCTGGTAGCTGGATAAGAACCTGGTGGCATCATGGTTGTAGAGAACGTACTGGTTGTGGTCTTGCTGTTGTTGCCTGGTGCGCAGAAATGTGGCCACCTGCCTGAGTTGGGCGACGGCATCTCCTTGGTGGAGTGCGTCAGGGCATGCCTGATTTGTCATCAACTGTAGTACATCGCTGAGTGCCTCCCAAAGATCCCGTCCCATGGCCTGAATGAATGCCACGATGGGTCGTCCTTTTTGAAACTGTTTTTTGGCTTTTGGGAGGATGTAGGCTTGAGGTACGCGACCCCATTGCTTGAAGGCCCACTGGTAGTCTGGCAGCTGTTGTCGGACTTGTTCGTAAATGTGGGCAGCGGTGTGAAAGCGGTGGTGCGAGTGATGTCTTGAAGACATCTGGGTCGGTGAAGGTGTTGGTGATGGCTTGGTGGTAAAGCTGGGGGCAGTACCAAATGAGTCGGTCTGGGTGATGGTCTTCGCAGTGGATAACGCCGACAGGTACGCTGTGTTGTATGCTTTTGACCTGATGTATGGTCAAGTAATGGTGGGCATGTTGCTGGTGACACTGTATTTGTTGCTTGACAAAATTCTTGATGCGCTGCGGTTGCTGTGGAAAGCGGTAATGTTTGTGCCACCTGACTAGTGAGTGTTGAAGCTTGACGGCCAGTTGTTTGGCGTTGGGGAATACGTTGCTTTTGCCAGAGTAGGCAAGTACGCCGTGCTGGGGTAACAGCGCGTGGAGTTGCTGAGCAACGTGCTGTGTAGTGTCCCCTGCTTGCAGGTGGCGACATGTACATGGTGGCGTCAAGTGAGGTTGCCACGTGTGGTGTGCTTGTCGCCAATTGTGTAGTATTGGCTGAAGAGGTGGGTGTTTTTCGTATACCATCTTGGTGCTGGGGATGTGGAACGGTGGTATGTGCTCTTTATGCTGGGTGAGGGTGTCTTTGAGGAAGTCCCTCAGTTGGGTGGTGCTCTGTGGGTGAGCAAGCATGTGCGAAAATAGCGGCTTGCTTGATTTGGGGACAGGTAGTTTGTGCAAAACTGGATGGTATGTTGGAGTCAAACAAATGTGTAAGTTGCAGCTGCTGGTGCTGTGGTGGCTGGGAAGAACTTCCCAGGGGCTGAAAAGAGTGAGCTGGTGGAGGCACCACACCCATGCTTGTAGAACCTTGGTGGCTGGTGGCTGAACTTGGTGTGGCATTGGGTGTTGTGAGTGGTTGGTAATGTGTAGTGTGCACTGCATGTGTCGTGGGTGGGAGTGAGTGGGTGTGTGAAGGTGGTGGTGGTGGTGGTGGTGGTGGTGGCGGCGGCGGCGGCGGTGGTGGTGGTGGTGGTGGACGATTGTTGTTGGGATAATGCCGGTTTGCATTGATGGCCATGCCCATCATGCCGATGGGTCGTGCAACAGGCATGTTTGCCGGTTGACTGTTCATGCCTGTGCTTGTTGATTACCGATGAGCAGTGTACAATGTGAGCCCAAGCTGCAACAACATATAAAAGTAGCTGCCAAGCATCTGTCAAGTGCTCGGATGCACAGCTGAATCACTCAAGTTGGTTGATGCACATCATGAAAAGATCAAAGATCAAAGGTTCGAAACTTTGATGTCGGACGAACTCATCCGCTCCTGAGATGAGAAGCATTGGCATCGGGGTGAGACATGCTGCTGACCATGACTGCATTAGAAACAAGCATAAAGAAACAATGATGATCAAGACCAAGGGAACAAAACAAAACAAGTTTTTAAGCAACGAGGCCAATGCCTTTGATGTCAAAATGCCCTGCGCGCCAACCCCACTTGTCGGGGTTTCTTCTGATGCCTCTGTGGCCAACCGCATGGGCCTCACGCCATGTGTCTCTGTATCCCAGGCTGTAATGCTGGAACTTGCTGTCTACCTGGCCCAAAATGAGGACGCCTTGTTGCCCCTTGCTTCGTCGTGTGGCGCGGTCACACACGATTTGAAGGGTAGCTGGGCAGAGTTCTCCCAACGTGGCGCTGCCATACACCACCGTGGACCGTTGTTCCATGCCAGGCTGTGAGGGTTGGAGGGCCTTGATGGATGTTGGTCGGACAAAGCCGTCCCTCATGATGCCCTGAGCTGCTGAAATGTCCGTGCCATGTGCGCAAGTGTAGCTCCAAACTGCGCCCGGGTGTTGGTCTGGTGGTACTCCAAATGGTGCGCGCTTGGCTGCGTTCCATGGGATGTACAGGATGGAGTGTATGCCGCCGGCAATGGTGAAGATCTCGGCGTGCAGCTCGTTGATGAGATGCCGATTTCCGCTTGAAAAAGCTGCGGCGGCAAACTGGGAAATCTGGTCCAGGGTGTGCGCGGTTCCGCTGGCAATCTCGGTCAACGTACGGGTGAGGGCAGCAGCGTCGGCCACGTGGTAGGCGGATGGCTCTGGTAGTAGATGCGCAGGAACGTCCACAATGGGGTCAATGTGTTGCTGGCACGGCTGGGAGGCAGCCTGAAACATTGAGTCACTGGTGGCGGATCGTGGTTTGTGCGTGTTGGGTGGATGGCTGGGTGAGGATGCATCTTCTTCAGTGTGCGTCTGCTGCTGCTGCTGTTGTTGCTTTTGCTGTTGCTGGCTGCGGACCATGCGCGCAATCTGTTGCTGCAGAGTTTCACGCGACTGTTGGTTGCTGGGTGGAGTGCGTCTCCAGCTGTACCATTGCTCTTGTTGGCTGGTGGTGTCTCGTGGAGTGGGGGTGGGTGTTTCAGGTGTTGTAAGTGGTGGTGGTGGTGGTGGAGGTGGTGGTGGCGGTGGTGCCCCTGCAGTTGTCTCAGGCTGCCACTGCTTTGCTTGTTGTTGCTGGCGTGTCAACTGTCTCTGGCGTCCGGCGGCTGAGATTGGCTGGGTTGGGCAAGACTCTTCGGTCGTCGGGGGAATGGCTTCTCTAAGGAGCGTGGATCGGCTGCGAAGAACCACCTTGCTGCCGGCATGTGAGGTGTATGGGTCTGGGTGTGGTGAGTGAGTCGGCGGTGGGTTGCGTTGGGAAGATGGTGACCTGGGTGTGGGTGATGTTGACGCCGGTGACGGTGTCAGGGAACGTGGCCGACGTCTGTGTCCACGATGGCTGGCCCTTCTGCGTCTGCCACCTGACGAGCGGGGTCGTGTAGAGTGGGAGCGTCTTCTGGATCTGCCACGTCGGACCCTCGTAGACCTGCGTCTGCGTCGTCTGTGTGCGGTGTGACTGTGTGTCTCGTGGGTGGAGTGGCGACTGTCCATCCTGCGTCTTCTTGTGGATCGGCTTCGATGTGTGGCTGGCTGAGGTTGCGTGTGCGCGTGTGGTTGTGATGTCGCGTGAACGTTGGAGCCCTGGTCTGCACCTGGTGTAGCTGATGGTGACATTGCATCTGCAGGTGTGGGTGCATGTGATGTGATGATTGGTTGTGCTGCTGGCTGCTGCTCCAAGGTTGTAGGGACTTGCTGGGGTGGAGCCATCTGCGGTTGAGCGATTTGATGGTCGCAAGTGGGCATGTGAGTGAGCCACTGCTGTGATGTTTGTAGCTGAGGCTGTAAGTGCATTGGTGAGATCATCTGCACTGGCTGTTCCATCGGCACAGGTTGCTGTAAAAATTGCGGCACAAGCTGCATGCTTGGCACGGCTTGCTGTTGCGGGTGATAAGTCGGCTGAGTCTCCATCTGGAGTGGCCATACGGCATTTGCCTGTACTGCACCAGCTGCCGGTTGGCTGGTCGAAGGCTGAACAAAGTTCCACCAAAAGGCGTTCGGAGGCCGCTGTTTGGTTGTTGGCCCAGCAGCAAAGCAACAGCAACAAACGTGTCGGGGGACCGTTGTTCGTCTTGAGGGAGGGTGGCGTCACACGCAGCCCGGATGCACTAGCCGAATCATTACTGCACATGCCCTCATGTCAGATGCACCTGCACTTGCAAACCCTTGCAAAACACTGAGAAAAGGAGAGTCGAATAGGAGACAGAATAGTGGAGGTAGACCTGTGGCTTCCCTTGGCTTCCCTTGCACATGCACTCATGGTCACCCTACTGCATTTTCCGACGCACATGCCCGCCCTGCATATGCCGACAGCGTATTAGTGGCATTGAACGCCGAACCCACATAGGTAGAGCCCATCGCAGTTACTAGCAGCCTGGAGTATCTGATCGCAGCCCAACAGACACGAACCCGGGGATTGGCCCCTCATCGGCTCCTGGCCGGATGCCCTCGGAGGACCACCACGGCGCCATAACGGAAAGCCGTTGTATCACACTGATGGATAAGACTTCTGCAGAGATCGCCAGGGGGGTGGGGTTTGGGTTTGTTGACTCAAAAGTACAAGTATGTTGCATCCATGTACCAACTGCTCAATGTTGTCATCATGTAGACTGCATTGTACAAATCACCAAAGCTGAATGCTCACACTACTCATGTTGCTTCACTCATGCTGTGTCCAGCGCCACAGGGGGCCCACTGGCTAATCCGATTGCAGGTACAGATGAGTGATCAGCTCATCCTTCCCACTCTATGGCATAGCTTCGTTGCATGGAGTAGCCATAGAGTGCTCCATGAACCATAAACGGTTCCCCTGCTGCAATGTGAAAGTGGAGGCAAAATTCGACAAGCTGGGAGTGACCCCATTCACCTATGAACTAAGGTGTTTCACTCACACACACACACATACACACACACACAGACACACACACACACACAGACACACACACACACACAGACACACACACACACAGACACACACACACACACACACACAACCACACACACACAACCACACACACACAACCACACACACACAACCACACACACACAACCACACACACACAACCACACACACACACACAACCACACACACACACACAAACAACCACACACACACAACCACACAACCACACAACCACACAACCACACAACCACACAACCACACAACCACGCAACCACACAACCACACAACCACGCAACCACACAACCACGCAACCACACAACCACACAACCACGCAACCACGCAACCACACAACCACACAACCACACAACCACACAACCACACAACCACACAACCACACCACACACACACACACACAACACACACACACACCACACAACACACACACAACCACACACGCACGCACGCACGCACGCGCACGCACGCAGCACGCACGCACGCACAAACAACCACAACCACAACCACACACACACACACACACACACAACCACACACACAACACAACACACA